CACAGAAAGAGAGGGAAAGAGCTCGCGAGGATGTCCTATTGCTAAATGGGTGAGTTGCATTACATCACAGCAATCTTATGACATGCAGAGGAGGGCTGCACATGACAATATTTGCAATGGTGTCAGTGTATTTATGAGGTAATGTTTGAAGAAGAATACAGTCGTGATAGTTGGGGTATTTTACACTGTATTTCATTCCAACGTACGGCATTAAAACTCACCAACTAGTTTGGAGTGCAGCAGGACTAAAACGTTGTCCAGCTGCAGGATAGATAGATAGATAGAAGACGGCTTTGTTTACTTTTGCCAGTTGTACGCCATACATTGGATTGTGCTACATTCACTTCTTTTTATTCTTTCATTTGACTATGAACGATGAGGCACCTAAGTGCAGTATGTGAGTTCCGACTTACGGCAAAAATTGAGTTACGTCGCACTGTAGCAGAACTCAGTGGAAATGCTGTATTTATATCCTGCTGTTACACTGACACCTACACTGAGATTCTTATGCAGTGTTATGACCTTGTTATGAAGGTAGGGATGGTTTGGACATAAGCTAAGGAAAGATAGTGAACTGAGGATGTTGAAGATGGAGCTGTCAGATGGGATGTAATGAAGGACACTCCCAAGAAGATTCAGGGACGTAGTGAAGGAGGACAGAAAGGAGATTGGTGTAACAGCAGATAAGGCGAAGGTTAGGTTGAGATGCAGGAAAACAATGCGCTTTGTGAATACTGAAGGGAACAACAGCCGGGAGAGGAGGAGGAGAAGTGGAGTTTCATCATACTACAACGCATATATATATATCCTTAAGTGTGTCCCATAATGAAAGGTATGGTCAAATAAATGTGACTAAAATGGTCTAAATGGCAATATCAAGCAGCGGCAGATAATGCTTTACATTGTTGGCAGGTTCTTCTGTTTAGCTAATGTTCTAAAGAGAAAAAGGCTGAAATAACCTAAAGTTTTCTTTCCGTTCAGGTGATTCGTCGTAAAAATGAGACAGAGAAGCTTCTTTGCCTGGTGCGAGAGCGTCAAGGCCATCACTGTGACAACGCCGTCATCATCATCCTCATCATGGCCTGGGAAGGTGTCCCCAGACTCCTGGCTGACAAGCTTTACATGGAGCTGAGTGACACCCTTACCAGATATGGCAACCCCACCAGCCGCCGCTGTGGCCTGAACAATGAGTAAGTCACTGATGTTTTTTTTTCATGAGAAGGATCAACTTAAAAGCTGCACAAAATTCTATTGCTGGTTTCAGGTATTTTATGTGTTAGTATGCACGTAAGTATTTGTTTATATATTTTATCAGTTGGGGAAAAAGGAAGTTCTATGAAGGTTGCAATCGTGAGTTTTTCTTATGTGAGGAAAAAGTATATATATACAGTATATGTATAAAATGAACAGGAGGCAGTGGTGGCCTGGTGGCAAAGGAAGCGGACTTCGGTCCGGAAGGCCCCAGGTTCGAATCCACCAACTGCCAGGTTACCACTGAGATGCACTGAGCACTGTCCTCAAGCACTGCTCCCCGGGCGCTGACCACGGCTGCCCACTGTTCACTTGGTGATGGTGATGGGTTAAATGCAGAGTTAAATTTCATTGTGCATGGTGTGCTGTGCTGTGTCACAATGACAAATAAAGATAACTAAAAAAAAAAAAATAAACAAAAGAACAACATGTTGTCTTTTCTAATACTTTCCTCCCCTGCTCCAGACTCTACTACTTGTTTCTGTCGTTAAAAAAGACTATAAAACTATGAAAATGTGCTTCAGGTATTCTGATATTTGGCCTCAGTAACACATGTAGGATGTTGTGTCCATGCAAAGTACAAACTTATTAGCCACACGTCATTTCAATTATGCTCACTGTCTCCCCCTGCAGTCGCACTTGTGCATGTCAAGGAAAAGATGAAAGCTGTGGCGCTTCCTTCTCCTTCGGCTGCTCCTGGAGCATGTACTTCAATGGCTGCAAGTATGCTCGAAGTAAAATGCCACGCAAGTTCAGACTACAAGGAGATCACCCTGAAGAGGTACCTGTTCTACTTTTATAATGTTTTGAGTAAAATAGTACGTTGATGTCACCAAGCTTATTAGAAGCTTAGTGGTTGTGTTCTGATATAAGGATCTTTTATTTCTTTTTTTTCAGGAGGAGAAACTCAGGGATAACTTTCAAAATTTGGCAACCATGGTGGCTCCTTTGTACAAACAGTTGGCCCCGCAGGCATACACTAATCAGGTTTGTTTTACTGGCAGACAACGACTAAAGACACTACTTAACATTTTGGATTGTACTGGGTTGTGATGTTCGCTCACAGGATATTTTTACACATCATTTTCTCCTGTATTTTGCTGTTTCCTTCAGTGTGTGTCAGAAGCCAAAGCTCTGGATTGCAGGCTCGGTTTAAAGGAAGGACGGCCATTCTCTGGAGTCACTGCATGCATGGACTTCTGTGCCCACGCTCATAAAGACCAGCACAACCTTCATAATGGCTGCACAGTGGTAAAGTCTCTCTTGTGATCGCTGTGTGTATTTGGGGGCTCATTTCGAGCATATTTAGATTTATTATTCAAGGAGCGCTGCTTTAGAAAACATTTGAGATCTGATACTTTCTAATAGGTTAATAGGTTTCTAATGAGGCAGTTAAGGACGGCTCAATAGAACCTTCTTATGTCCGATACCAATACTTGTTGCAACCACATCCACATTTGTTTGGTTTCAATTTTTAATAATTTTTCAGGACTTTTGATTGGCAAGAATGAATGAAGATCAACAGGAGCAGGGACAGATAAGGTTTGGAGATGAAGTCAGAGAGGTGAGGTTGAGATGGCTTGGACATGTTTTGAGGAGAGATTGTAAATATACTGGACAATGATGTTAGAGATGGAGTTGTCAGGAAAGAGAAGAGGAAGACCTCAGAGGAGATTTGGGGATGTTGGTAGTTGATAGACATAGTTGGTAGTTGAAGTAAAAGCAGCTGATGCAAATGATCCACTGTGGCGACCCCTGAAGGGAACAGCCGAAAGAAGAAGTATTTTCTTTGTTTATTTTAAACATAAATAACCTTAAGTGAAGTATTTTAATTTAAATTTCATCAAAATTGCTTTAGGTGTGTACTTTGTTGAAGGAGGACAACCGTCACGTGGGTGTGATCCCTGACGACGAGCAGCTCCACGTCCTGCCTTTGTACAAGATCGCAAGAACTGATGAGTTTGGCAGTGAGGAGAATCAAAAACTCAAGATGAAGTCAGGAGCTATCCAGGTTCTTCAAGCTTTCCGTCGTGAAGTTAGGACGCTACCTGAGCCTGCCAAGTCTTGCCGACAGCGCCGGCTAGAGGCCAAGAAGGCTGCCTCTGAGAAGAAAAAAAATAAACTCCTGCAGCAGACAGGGGAGACTCCAGAAAAAACAGTTGTGAAGACTGAGGTCTGCGGTTCACCACAGCCCGGAGGCAATGGAGGTGGGTTAGGGTGTTGTTCTTGTGTATTTGTGTCCAGACTGTAGGACATATTACTGGACACGAATGACATTTCCCGGTTCCCGGAAAATGTTAATGCAAGTTATAACATTTGTTCACTTAATACAGGTGAAACAGTCTATAGGATTTGCCGTTGTGGTTCCATGCTCTCTGTGCTTATGCTTTCTCTTCCACTGGGGCAGTAGTGGCTTAGTGGTTAAGCAAGATTTTGGTGCACGAGTGGTGGCACGGTTCGACACGTGATCGTGCTACACCAATCGAGTAGCTGATTGATGTCAACACTTCTGGCAACACGTTAAGTAGAACTCTCCGTCGTTACCGATAGAGAGGAATTCTCCCAAAAGTCTTCTAAAGTGGGCCAAATGGATTCTAAACAGTGCTTTATACATAGCCGCCTGCACGAAGAACAATGAGGCAAATAGACGATAAGGTAAACTTTGTATGTTAAGTCATTTTGATCAATAAAAGGAAGTAATCAATGACAAGGACCATTTGTTTATTCATTCGTTCATTTATTCGCTCCTAACAAAATACAACACCGATCAATCATAAAGAACTTTATTAAAACATATATAGATACAGTACGTACAATATATAAAACAATATAAAACAGCATAAGAAAATGACAAATTACCGGGTAATTAATTATGCAACCATTGCAATACAACTCTGAGGCTACACATGAAATGTTAGTCTTCACTGTCAGGGCAGTTGTCATCCTCTTTCTCCTCGATTTCATGTTTGTTTGCACAGTGGCAACACCTACACAGGTCTGTACAACAGAGTCCTGCAGAGACACAAGACACACTGTCAGGGGCCGGATTTCTTGTCATCCATGTGACATGTAGATTTCCATCATCTAAGTGCCAACCATATCCAGCAGGTGATGGAGCACCTATATTTTGTTTGATGCAGGACCTCATGACTGCAGCCTGATAATTTGCCTTTTTTGCAGTGCTGATGGAGGGCATCACTTGTGAGGGGAATAGACAATTCTGGCGAGGCTGATGATGCCATACAGAAAGCAAACATGAAATCGAAGAGAAGGAGGATGACAACTGCCCTGACACTGACAGTGAAGACTAACATTTCATGTGTAGCCTCAGAGTTGTATTGCAGCGGTTGCATGGTTAATATTACCATTCATTTTCTTATGCTGTTTTGTATTGTTTTATATATTGTACATACTGCATGTATACTGTATATGTTTTAATAAAGTTCTTTATGATTGATCGGTGTTGTATTTAGTTAGGAGCGAATAAATGAACGAATGAATAAACAAATGGCCCTTGTCATTGATTACTTCCTTTTATTGATCAAAATGACTTAACATACAAAGTTCACCTTATCGTCTATTTCTTTCGTCTATTGTTCTTCGTACAGGCGGCTATGTATAAAGCACTGTTTAGAATTTGGCCATTTGGCCCACTTTAGAAGACTTTTGGGAGAATTCCTCTGTTAAGTAGAACCACGAAGGAAGCCGTGTTGCCAGAAGTGTTGACATCAATCAGCTACTCGATTGGTGTAGCACGATCACGTGTCGAACCGTGCCACCTCTTGCGCACCAAAATTTTATTTCGCCCCGAAGACGCTAGTTCTTTATAAAATACATCGATATAAAAAAGGATATTTTGCGACGAACCTTTTGCTGTAAGTTTAATGTAACTCGTTCTTATTTATGAAGTTGAGATCGTGTAGTTCCCAGACGTCGGGTTCACCTTATGGCCTACTCTGTCCAGACTGTAGGACAGATTACTGGACATGAATGACATTTCTAGGGTCCCAGAAAATGAAGTTATTACATTTATTTGGTTAATACAGGTGAAACAGTCTATTGGATTTGCCATTGTGGTTCTATGCTCTCTGCTTATGCTTTCTCTACTTTCATGATTTACTTACTGTGAAAAGAGTACGATTTTATTGTAATTTCAACTAGTGTGTCTGCAGTTATTGTCCTTGCTTAAAATCAGCGTTTATGTCAGTGAAAAAAAATCTAATTTACCCATCACTACTTTCTAAATATTCAGAAACAAAAGACATTTGACTTTTTTTACCTCAGTATTTTGTTATGAAAATCTTTTGTTGTGTGTGTGCCAGATATGGGAGGATTGTGTCATTACTTCTACCAGGAATGTCCTGAGGTTGTCAGCCCGGATTGTGTTGTAGTAACATCAACTACAACTTGGCCAATCATGCTGTGGCTCTCATCAGTGCTGCCTGTAGAACTATTAAACAATGAAATGTGTTTTACATTAGGTGAGAAGTCTAGTCTCTAATTTGTCTTTCTTCTGTTGCAGCAGTTATTAAACAGGAGATGAAGCTTGCTGTCAAAAAGGAACCCTTCAATGTATCGCAGGACGGTTACTCTGTGCAGACAGCAGACCCTTTCAACAACATGTTTCCACATCCTGCCTACTATGCAAGGGGAGGCCTTTCCCACACTGGCCAGCCCTCTGCTCCAGACCCAGTTAATGGCTACCATCCAGCATCCAATCTTCCGACAATGCACTATGGCTACTACAACTACGCCCCCAATGGACTTTTCCCCCATAAGCAGAGGACCTACGAGGGTCAAAACTCTTCTAAGGCCAAAGCAGGTAGTAAGGATGTCCAGGAAGAAATGAAGCCTGATATTCGGAGCCTTCAGTCCCAACTACATCAGCATTATCCTGGCAAAGCAGAACAAACCACCCAACCAAACCCCAGCGCCTACGGCCAATCAGCAGATTACACCCAGACCCGTCCGTCTTCTGTCTCCTCTGAGATATCCAGCAAAGGCACCCCCATAATTAAACAGGAGCCCATGGATGTGACAGTGTATGAAGGGGCATTGCCAAGTCGAGCTGGGTCAAACACACCAGGCAACCTGCAGCCTGATGCCTGGCCAGGGCAGAAGATCAATGCAAGTATTGGTTCCACAAACTGGGACAGCCATCATGACTATAAACAGAGTAATGAAGTATCAATGTTAAACCTGGATAAACAGCAGTTCCACCACATCCAGCACATTCAGCAGCAGCGGCAGCACCAGTCTCCTTTCCCCCAGAAGTGGACGTCCTACCCTGGTTCCAACACCATGGCTTCTCCATCCCCATCACCATCTCTTCAGGTACCTTCATCTCCATCTCTGTCCCCACACCTAGGCACACCGCTCCCAGGTAGCATGTACCAAGCCCCCCCACGTCCTGTGATGCCCTATCCAAATACCCCTGGTACACCGCAACCTGCAAACTCTCACTCAGGTTCAGTTACACCACAGCCAAGAATGCCAGGACCAGCGACACCATGCCAATGGCCCGGTCCTGCTCCTAGTCCTCAGCCCAATCCATGGGCCATGGGCCCTGCTGCGTACAGCCCTGGTATGAAGCACATCAACCCTGCAGAAGCTTACCCTGACAAAATATGGTCCAAGACTGGGGAGAGCCGGTGTTCCAATCCACTGGGCCTGCAGGAGAAGGCCTGGAAGTCATGTGGAGGTTCAGTGGCAGGCAGCACTCCGTCTCCTGCACCTGAGGGCCGCCTCTTCCCTGATGCCCTGCAGCAGTCAGATCAAGCTTGCTGGGAGACAAGACAGGCTGACATTGACATGGAGTGCACCAAAGGTCGAGGAGACTATGACGAGGTGTTTTCTGACAGTGAGCACAACTTCCTCGATCCTAATATTGGGGGAGTGGCTGTAGCACCAGCTCATGGTTCAATCCTTATCGAATGTGCCCGTCGTGAACTCCACGCCACCACACCACTCAAAAGGCCTGATCGCTCTCACCCCACACGCATCTCACTGGTCTTCTACCAACACAAAAACCTCAACCAGCCCATGCATGGTCTGGCTCTGTGGGAGGCCAAAATGAAGATCCTGGCAGAGCGAGCGCAGCAGCGGCAGCAGGAAGCAGCTCTCCTTGGCCTTTCCCAGGAAGAAATCAAAGCCCTCAGCAAGAAACGCAAGTGGGGAGCTACCACAGCAGGTGCTAGCCCAGGACCTGGACAATTTAAAGAAAAGAGAGAGGGGTCAGTGATACGGTTAGCTCCCACATTACACACCACCTCTATGGTTACAATGTGTCCCTATGCCTTTACCCACCTCACTGGGCCCTACAGCTGCAATGCGTAAGGTCAGACAGACGCAGACTGACTGACTCACAGCTACACAGTGGTGCAGTGAAGGGCTGAGAGAGTGAAGGCTCTCCAATTTCTCACAGTCTGGCATCTCTCCATCGTGTCCCCTCTCTACAAACATAAATGGGGGGGGGGGTATCTTTGTTGTTTTACCTCATGTCAGGCAGTGGTTTGGGCTTCAGACCAACTGCTTGTGGTGCTCTTCCTCTCTCTTCTCTCAAGAGGAACTCCATAACTTTTTTTCTTGTTCACAGAAGTTTAATGGTTCTAACTATTGCTATTATTATCAATATTAATATGATTGATATTGTTACTGTTAATGTTGGTATTACAGGTATTATTATAATGAAGACATGTTTGTTTTTATTATTGCTGTTTTCATTAATGTTATTAATGATGTTTTTTTTTTTAGTTGCTTTAAAATAATTTTTCTTTTTTTTTTTTTAAAGCAATCAGTCTGAATCAGTCAGACTCAAATGATTTCTTTTCCATGTCTGGGAAATGCCTACCCTGTTATTTTTGTGATGTTTTCCTTAACTGTTTTGTAAGAGGAGGAGCCATCATCCTACTGGCAAGATTTTAAATTGATATTAAACAAAACAATGCCTTTCTATTCGCATTTCAGAAATAGCAGTGTTTTCGATGACGGCTTCAGATTTATATTGGATTCTAAAAATTTTAAATAATCGATTAGGTTAATTTTCCAATGTTTGGCCATTGTCAGGACATAATATTGGCACTTTAACAGTTCCACTGCTTTAATTATTATACATACTGTGGACCAAATGGTCAGATACAGCCACAAAACTTACAGTATGTTGTATATATTGATTTCTTTTCCATGTCTGGGAAATGCCTACCCTGTTATTTTTGTGATGTTTTCCTTAACTGTTTTGTAAGAGGAGGAGCCATCATCCTACTGGCAAGATTTTAAATTGATATTAAACAAAACAATGCCTTTCTATTCGCATTTCAGAAATAGCAGTGTTTTCGATGACGGCTTCAGATTTATATTGGATTCTAAAAATTTTAAATAATCGATTAGGTTAATTTTCCAATGTTTGGCCATTGTCAGGACATAATATTGGCACTTTAACAGTTCCACTGCTTTAATTATTATACATACTGTGGACCAAATTGTCAAAAACAGACATGGACAAATACAGTCACAAAACTTACAGTATGTTGTATATATTGGTGAAACAATGGTGGCACAAACCACCTTTTTTAAAATGTCACAGAAGACACTCAATTTCTAAACCAACAAAAATGGACATCTCTCCACAGTGGTGCTGATCTTGTCTCTAGCTGATGTCTCCTCTTCATTATCTGCACCCTCCAGCTTTTAAAAGGTGCTCAACGTTCAGCTCTATTATCATTCCATCCTTATTCATAGCACTTGATGCTGTACTTCTGGTGCTTTATCTGGCTCCCATTTTGCATTTTTGGGGTTTAATTAGGCCACATGCATCATTTTTCAAGAAAAGAAAATAAGTCATACTGTTTGTAAAAGCCTTTTGAGCCAGCTAAGCATTTTATCACACAGATACAACAGGTGGCACTAATTTTCTTCCTATCACGTTCAAATAGGTGTGGGCATTTGTCAGTGTAAACTCTAGAGGGCAGTGGTGGCCTAGTGGTAAAGGAAGCGGACTTCGGTCTGGAAGGCCCCAGGTTCGAATCCACCATGCAGCATGGCATCGTCCTCAAGCACTGCTCCCTGGGCGCTGACCACGGCTGCCCACTGTTCACTTTGGTGATGGGTTAAATGCAGAGGTTAAATTTCGTTGTGCATGGTGTGCTGTGCTGTGTCACAATGACAAATAAAGATAAGTTTTTTTTTTTTTTTTAGAGGGCAGCAGTGGCTGCCATTCCAAGACATACAGTACAAGCACTTGAGCTCCACCCAGTAGCAAGATGAGCCTTGCCTTGCAGCCTTAACTAACTATGGCCAGCAGAGGGGTGTCTCAGGCTTTTTTTGCTGACCGTGGCTGGGCCCTCCACCGAAGCAGCTTAAGTTGAAGCTGTTTTTTGTCCCACTGAGGCACAAACGTCATCCCAGTCTCTGGACAGACCCTTGGCAGGCCCATGCTGGCTCAGAGCAGAAGAAAACAGTGTTGGGTTAGCAGCTCTTGTCGGTGCTCCTGGACACACTCTGGTGCTCTCCTACAACACTTGATTTCTCCACCAAGGGCCGACTTCTTCCTCTCTGCATGGTGCTGTCATCATCTTGAAAGCAGAGGTAAATGTTGGCCTTCTGCAGGCACCATGTCTTCACAGAACCAGCCAATCAGAGTGAGTGCAGCTCTTGACATTGGGCCTAAGCCTGGTTCCTTTTTGTAGTCTCACTGCAGCAACATTGTTTTTGTCTCACTCATGACAAAAGAACACTGTACAGGGCAGAGAAAGCACAGTCGTTCATGCCTTCCTGGTCTCAGAGAGAACAACAGTCCTGAGAGTTGAAAGTGAATGATCACTGCAGCCTCCAGGAGTTGGCCACTAATCCATCAAGTACATGAATCCATTACTGTGTGCTGTCTGTGAAAGATTAACAGAACACATATGCAGATAGAGTGAGAGACAAACCAAAGAGAGAGAATTTGACTAACCTAATGAATCATAAACCTTTGCAGCTGTCAAAACTCAACACAGACTAACTCCTGGATGCTCTGTGGTTATTATGGGTCAACACCATACCATATATAAGAAATGGACGTAGGAAGCCCAGTTCAGCCCAATCTGTAAAAACCTGCTGGTTTTAAATTGAACTTCCCCCGAATGGAAATCTGAAGAAAAATCAGACAACTTTATGGTATTCAATTTAAAATGTTGATTCTGTTCTGATCCAATTTAGAGGAAATGGATGATAAAGTCTGACGGGAGATCTTCAACCGAACAATCAAGATTTATCTTCTGTTTCCTTTTTTATGGTTTATGGACCAGATCTAATTGATATATGAAGGCCTGCATTAGCAGTTGAGTCCATGTACTATTGAGTGTGAAAATCATCCTGATAATCTTGGTGGTCTGTTGAATGGAACGTCACTAATTACTACATTTCCATTTCTTACGTACAGTCTTTGGTAAGGACCCTGGTCATCTGTGAAAGACCCTGTTCTGCTGTGTCTCCAGCTCTTTACCTCACGCTGTAGAGACACTGGTCACAACCTCACACTTGCTACTGAGGGCAGAGAATCAAGCGTTTGTCTCTTTGTGTCCCCTCACTTGTTTAACCTGCTTTCTTCTTCTGTTTTTTTTTTTGTTTGTAAACCTCTTATTTATTACTATGTGAAGATGTTAATAGTGATTGTCTTTAATGTTTTGTTTTTTTATGTTTTATATAGCTAATACAAATTGTAAATACAAAAAAAAAAGATTTATAAAAGCACTTTCAATCTTGATTTTAATTATTTAAAAAAAGAAGAAAGAGCCGAATATTGACAACTTGAAGCTTAGGTTTTTTGTTTGTTTTTTTTTCTCTCAAGAGAGATGAAAATGTAAATATTGAAAATTATTTAGGTAAGATTATTTAACTGGTAAACTAGACCTGGAATGACATGGGGGCAGGGGAAGGGGGGGTGCAGGGTCATGTAAAAGTTCATTACAGCCCTAAACAACAGTATACAACAGGCAGACCCGTGTGTTGTGTGTAAATGTGTGTTTAGAAACACTGCTGTTTGACTTTCTTAAGTACTGTTGGGGTACAGTACTTAAGTAACATGTACTGACATTCATCCCAGATTTACAGACAAGTTATATTCATGTACCCCACTGATCTGAGACTTTGAACAAAAACCTCCACATAAGCATTCATTGATGACTTTCACAGGACGTATGTGCAGATTAAAACGTGTAGGTTATCTTTTTATTTCAGCCTGGTAAAATAAAAAATAAAATATAGTGGTAATGTACAACTTATTTCAAAGCAGTGGGATATAGGCATTTGGTAGCCCAAAGCAGGTTCAACTGGCCTTAAGCTTTGTATACAACAGTTATTAGAATTATTCTATTAGTTTCTATTAGCTACCAAAGAAATGGGTCTATGAAAGTCAATAAGCAAACTTTGCAACTTAAACACTTCTTAATTAGTCATTTGTGTAGTAATTTGACTTTTTCATAAGGTTTGGCAAAATATTTTAGTTTTTAGCCTTAGTGCCCTCTGTTGGCAATGAGTGGTTTTGCACCTGAAGCCTGGGTTGAAAAACAGGACTGAGTTAACGTCCCTCTTCTAGATACACACTTTATCAATGTGGCCGTGGTTTACTGCATACCAGATGTGTGGCGACTACTGTCATGTACTTCATTGCTATTGTTGGTGCAGGTGAAAAGTCTGGCCATGCGTAAAGTGCTGATGAAGTAGTTTTAACCCCTTTTTTTTTTACCCTTGATGCACAGTTGCAGTGTTTTGTGGTCTGTCCTTTCAAACCAGATAATGTTCTTGTCCTTTTCAAGCAACAAAGTGTTCCAGCCAAAAGGTTATTCTTATTACAGTTACCCTTTTAAAGTGACATGTTCAGAATGTTAGGGAAGTCGCTTCATTTGTGCTAAAGTGAAAGGGCTGAAGGCTGTGATCTTACTAATAACTAATCTTTTTTTTCAGCCATGTCACTCATTAGGCCAGACTTCCAGCCGGCCTTTGGGACCGACCCTGTCACCATTGTTCAACCCCTAGCAGTGTGAATCAATCTTAGTGCATTTAGCTTCAAATCATGTCAAACTCTGTGAGCCAAACACAAAGTAATAATTACACTGACATTGTGATAAATGGTTAAATTGGCACAGGGGCTGGAAACAGGCTCCTTTAATTAAACACATAGCCATTATACACACACGCTTACATAAAGTGCTAGGGATACAGCGTATCCTAATCACTCCACAGTTGTTAATTAAAACTGAGTTTTTAGTCAGCTGGTGCTACTACTTTTCTGTTCCTTGCATTCACTGTTTGAGATGTTTCAGAAAAAAGAAAAAACACATCACAAATGTTTTGGTGCTCTTTAAATGTTAAGAAAAGTTCATTTTTAATGAGAGCAGTTTCTTAGAGAGGCAAACTACACTAACAATTTGCATCTTTTTTTAAACAAAGTGCAGGGGGGGCTCAAACAGCTCGTCACACTCTTTAAAAACTTTTCTTACATTATACTTGAAGTCAGTGAAAATAGAATGACCTATATTTAGTAGTTATTATAACAACTGTTACTCAGAAAAGTCACATCTGGTATGTTCTATGTTCACGTTAACTGATATTTGAACAACATACACCGATAGTGATTGTATACTGCCTTCACTTCCTCCCCCCTGACATGCACTTCCTCTTCTCCACCCCCTCACTTTACACTTTAGATTTTGTCTGTCAATTACAAAAAGTTATCCAAAAAGCCCCAACTGTAGAACTAATGTGACATAAGTTATAATGCTCCAAATTTAAAATGTGGGCCTGGACTCCTTTTAAACAAAGAAATACAAGAAATGGAAAACACAACTGGCAGCTATATTTCGTTGGGAGTTTTGGGGATTCTTCAAGGTTCTCTTCACGTCGAGGATGCAGTATGTATAGCACTAAGTGTTTAGATTTTTCCTTTTTCTTCAGTCTTTCTCTTTGTAGCTGTACGGTGTATTATGTGTACACATAGTGTATGTGGTGAAAACCCACAATATTGTTTTACGTTGCGCGATCAATAAAAACATTGAAATGAACAAGGTCTTTGTCTTATTTCAAATCAGCTTCAACGACATTCAGCTCTGTTACATTTACAGGACTCAGGAAAAAGACAGACAGAACAGTGCATTTCATAGCAGTACAGCAGAGACATGGATCAACATCAGAAAGTTTATTCATAGGGTCCAAAACTTAATACACTTGTATAAAATAAAGAACAGGCAGGACTTTCTCCAACATAACTCAGGAATAAAAGAACAAAGCAATCGCAAGAGCTCACAAAGCAAGAACATGAATTGTGGAACTAACCGGGAACACCAAGCATGAAATGCAAGACATTAACTGTAAACACTGAACAAGAATCTCAAACATGAAGCAGTAACAGCAAGCACAACAGCACTATACTCACCACACGGATCAATGACCAGACGAGGCCAGAATGTAGGAGGTGTATACCTGTATATATAACCAAGGCACTAGGTGACAGGAGTGAGAGTAGACACAGTGTGTGTGATCACAGTGATGAACACAGCAGATACAGGCAGGGGGAGGGGAGGGAAACTCACAGTATCTTTGCTAATGCATTCTTTTCATGTCATTTAGCGCCAATTATTTGCTACACTTTGCTTTCTTAACTCTTGACCATTACTTAAAATATTCTTGGTGTCTTTTGGTTATTTTTCTTTAGCAAACTTACATCTTCTCTCATCTTACTTGTGTACACTTTTTTCACAGTGCAATTCATTTAGTTTTATTTTAGTTTTGCTTACTGTTAAGATATTGTAAATACATTTATTCAAATATTAACGATATATTCATTATATTAAATTTCCATATCAATTTGTACTGTTTTGTTTTTCAATGCTGTACTAAAAGGAGAAGTACTGAAGAAAGGTGTGCATGCTGATGGTTTACATAACAGGATGGTGTATAGTACTGATGGCACTGAAGAGACAGGTCACAGAACCGGCCTGAACCAGTTCCTCTGCCCAAATAATGAGGAAAACAGAACATCAAAAAGGAAAATAATCCAAAGTGCATCTGAAAACAGACAGAGGGACTTACTCAGAATAAAAAAAATGTCCCAGAGTCTGAAAAATGTAAGTGGATGCCAACACTGTCTCCGATTCAGTTACAGGAAGAGACAGAAGGGTTAAAGGAAGCATCCAAGTTTGAAACAAGCTACCACTGAGTACCTTCATAGTCTGTGTGCAAGTGTACCTATACTGAAACATTTTTATTTTCTTTTTATTTCTCTTGATTTTCATTCTACTGACATTAAGCTCATTTAAATTTAAATTACTTCTACTCTGTTATTTGTCCTACAACGGTGTAATATATTTCTGTGGTCCACAACAGGGCACATTTATGACAGCAATCCCTTGTTTCATTTGACCATGTCATTTTAATTTGATTCTCTCAGTGAGGGACCAGAGGAAAGTACAAGAAAAATATTTTCTTCTAAAACAATAGAGAACATGGCTAAATTAGTTTATTTTATTCACCTCTACAGTCCAATTACGAAGCCCCCCCACACACACACATCCATATGTGTGTATTCATTTAAAGATACTAGTTTGAGCTTGATGGTTAAAATATTAAAAACAGAACAACTAAAACTGTTTGGAGTTTTTAATACAAAACAAAATCAGATCAAAAGCAAATTTAAGGTGGCAAAAGAGAAGTGATACAATGGCAGTTTGTAGAAGCAATATACAGTATATATATGTATGATGTATGGGGTTTTCATGCTCAGAAAATGTTGCCTGTGCATAGCAGCGTAGCAATGTAATGTAAAAACCTAAACGTTGTGTACTTTTTTCTTTTGTAAAGCAGCAGGAAATGTCATTAATGATCATGTAAACTTCGATTACATTACATTATAGTCAGTAGGCTACTGTTTTTGACCTTTATTGTGCATTTTATCACACCTGAGGCATCACTAGGCCGAAAGCAAAGCCGGACTCAATAATAACACCAAGTACGGAATGGACGTCCTCCATCAGATAGTGAGGGTGTACACTGAGAAAGGCGTCACACGGACGTGGCCAGTTGCCGATTTTTGTAACATAATGGACCTGGATGGAAAACATGAACACATTCTCTTCAAAGAGTGCACCGGCAGCAGCAAAGGACGCAGGACAGTCCTGCAGCAGCTGGCAAAAGAGCTGAGAGAGGAATTTATGCAGGGAAAAAGCGCAGCGCACGGAGCGAGTCTGCAGCAGCGCCAACAGCCACAGCTGACTCCGAAAGTAAGGCACTGTTAAATTAAGAAAAGTTACAACCAAAAACAAAACAGTTGTAAACGCCACATAAATGTAAATAGTTTAAATACATATCAGCGTAATTTTGGGTTTATTGTTATTGTTGTTCTTAGTGTTAAAATATTTCCTAATCATATATGGTCATAGCGTATTAGGGGTGGGCGATACTGGGAATTTTGGTATCGATCCGATACCAAGTAAACACAGGGTACCGATACGATACCGATACTTTTTGCTTGGAAATGTCATGATCATTGAA